GCTTGAGAAGCTAAGGTTTAGTAACAGTCTCAGGTCTTTGGCTACAAATATTACTAGAATTATAAATTAAATATCAGCTACCATGACTGATTTTTTTATTCTGTCTCTATAAAACCAAACCAAGTGGCCATAGTTAAAATTGTGAAAACAAAGTTTAAAAACTCATGGACTTTAGATTTAGAGAAATTTTATAAATTTAATCTTAAAAGCAAGGGAAGTAAAAGCAAAAATAAATGAATGGGACTACATCAAACTAAAAAGCTTCTGCTCAGCAAAAGAAATCAACAAGATAAAGAGAAAACCATCCAAATAGGAAAATATATTTGCAAGCAATGCCTCTGATAAGGGCCTAATATCTAAAATATACAAAGAACTCATACAACCCAATAACAACAAAAAATCATATGATCCAATTTAAAAATGGGCAGACACTTGTCCCTAGAGGACATCCAAATGGCCAACAAATATATGAAAAGATGCTCAACATCGTGAGCTATTAGAAAAATACAAATCAAAACCACAATAAGATACCATCTCATATCTGTTAGAATAGCTATAATAAACAGGACAAGTAATAAGAAATGGTAGAGAGGATGTGGAGAAAAGGGAACCCTCATACACTGCTGATGGGATTGCAAATTTGGACAGCCACTATGGAAAACAGGAGATTCCTCAAAAAACTACGTATTGATCTAACAGATGCTCCAGTAATGCTTCTACTGGATATTTACCCCAAAGTCTTTAAAACCCATATTCAAAAAGATATCTGCACACCAATGTTCATAGTAGCATTATTCACGGTGGCCAAAGTGTCTTACAATAGATGATTGGCTAAAGAAACTGTGGTACATATATACAATGGAATATTACTCAAACATTAGAAGAGATGAAATACTGCCATTTGCGACAACCTGGATGGACCTCGAGATAATCATGCTAAGCTAAATAAGCCAGACAGAAAAAGTTGAAAATAGCATTATATCACTTATATGTGGGCTATAAAGCTAAAAGCAACAATTGAACAGGAGAAACAAAGAGAGACTCATGGACATGGACTGTAGACTAGTTGTTACCAGAGGGTATGGGGTAGTGGAGGAGGGAGGATGTAGACAAGGTAAAGGGGATCTAATATATGGTAGCTGAAGGAAACTGGACTTTGGGTGGTAAACACACAATAGAATATACAGATGTCAAATGATAATGTACACATGAAAATTATATATTTGTATTAACCAATGTTACCCCCATAAACTTAATTTAAAAAATACCCAGAATCCTTTTCCAGTCCTTTTTTATTCTCAAGTTCGTGGTCATAAAGAATATCTAGAGATGTTTAGGTCTCTTGAGAGTGAAGCTCTAATTTGTTTGTTCAACTGCAAGCTATGTCTACTCCCTCCATGTTGATATAGGGAAGAGGCATGAGGGCTCCACTATCTGACTAAATATTAAACCAAGTTGTATTCAGAGCCTGCAGTGTGTTGCCAGACCACAGGGAAACTACAGTACAAAGAGACATTCCTGGTGAGATTACTAACAAACTATTTACCCATGCCTTTAATACTGCATACCCTTACCATGAAAGGAAAACAGGAAAGCAAAGTCTTTAAAGCTATACCCTCCACAAAATAAACCCAATCATTCATTCTCTACTACCAGACCGCAGGGAACCTACAGAACAAAGGCTGAGATTGCTAACATGTCTTTAACGCTGCATACCCACACCTTTAAAGCTGCATACCCACACTGTGAAAGGAAAACAGAAACTTTAAGCTGTGATTCATAGAAACTAAGAATCACATATAAACTGAATTCCTCAAACACTCAGGATCTCATTCTCTGGCTTTGAGAGGAGACCACATCTCGGTCTGTGGAGCATTATTCCTTCTCTAATAAACTTTTCTTTTGTCTTTAACTCTGATTCACATTTCAATTCTTCCTGAATGCAGTCAAGGACCCTCTATTTCAGCAGGTCTATGGCTTGAGTCCCCACTTGGGGAAATTTGCCCCATCTTGTATCAATGTTACCTGGGAGTTTTTGAGCTTATGTCAGGACTACATTCCTTCACTTGACCAAAGTTCTGTCCCTGTTTGTACCCACTTAAGCGAGTAGCACTTCAGCCTCCCTCCAAGCCCGTTTTTGCCACTACTGCCTAGATTTCTACTTTGGCCTAGTGCAATAGTCCCCACAATGGTATTGGCCTTGGTCTGCTCAACAGGATCAGCATGGAGTGTTTTCTTTAATGTTACACTAGCTTTACTCTGAAGTTTCTCAGGTCACAGCCTCCCCCCACAACACCCAGACCTCAGGATCCTCCTGCCAGGGAATCTGTCACCCTTTTTCCTCTTTTCCCTGGAAAAAGTACTCTCTGGCTCACATCTACCAGTTACCTTATTTAGGCTAAAAGCAATCTATGATTTAACTAGAACTCCAGAATGTAACCAAGGACGTTATCTTAGGAACTCATGCATTATTTACCATTCTACCCTGCCAATAGTCTTTCAAAGCAGTTACTCTGCTAAAATCTTCTAGGCTTTATCTCCACTTGGGTTTAAGTTGTTATCTTTGGTAGAGAAAGAAAGACGTAAAATGTTTATAGAATAGAAACCAGACTGCTATCTTGATTCCACACTTAGATACAGTCCTTTTTTGCAGGAGAGTGGAAAGAAACTTGCATATTTAATGAGAGGCGGCCTTTCATCAGCAAGCAACCTTGATATCCACAGCTACCCACACTCTACTCTCAACTGGGTGCTCTGTGATTTCTCTAGCCATAGTGACCAAGCCCAGCAAGCAGTAGTTTGGTCCATTTGTTGGAAGACCTGGCTAGCTAAGTTGGGTGACAGTTTAGAGCATGAACTTTAGGCTCAGAAAAATGGGTTCAAATTCCATCTCCACTCACGAGAATAACTGTTACCTTAGGCAAGTGACTTGGCCTCTCTAAGACTATTTTCTCTATAAAATGAGCACAATATAAAGCACTCTTATTGAGTTGTTAAAAAAGATTAAAGGAAATAAATGTTTTAATTATACATTACAATTTTTAATTTGCAATTATGATAAAATACATAAACAAAATTTACCATTTTAATAATTTTTAAGTGTACAGTGTTAAGTATATTCACATTATTGTGCAATCAGTCTTCAGAACTTTTTCATCTTACAAAACAGAAACTCTACACCCATTAAACACTAACTCCCCACTCCCCCCTCTTCTCCAGCCCCTGGCAACCACCATTCTACTTTCTGTTTCTATGAGTTTACTTTTCATACCTCACGTTTGGGAAGTCATTTTTGTAACTAGCTTGTTTCACTTAGTATGATGTCCTCAGGGTTCATCCATGTTGCAGCATGTGGCAGAATCTCCTTCCTTTTTAAGGCTGAATAGCATTTCATTGTGTGTACATACCATATTTTATTTATCCATTCATCTGTGGATGGATATTTGGGTTGCTTCCACCTTTTGATTATTGTGAATAGTGCTGCTATAAACGTGGATGCGCAAATATCTTTGAGATCCTGGTTTTAATTTTTTTAGATATATACCCAAAAGTGATATTGCTGAGTCATACAGTAATTCTATTTTTAATTCTTTGAGAAACTGTCATACTATTTTCCTGCACCTTTTCATATGTAACGGCACCTTTCATATGCTTTTTGGCCACTTGCATATCTTCCTTGGAGATATGTCTACTCAAGTCCGTTGCCCATTTTTTAAAAAATTTTATTTAAGTATGGTTGGCTTATAATAGTGTATTAGTTTCAGGTGTACAACATAGTAATTCGACATTTATATACCTTATGATGTGATCCCCACACTAAGACTAGTAACCATTTGTCACTATGCAAAGTTATTATAATATTATTGACTATATTCTCTGTGCTGTACATTACACCTCTGTGGGTTATTTCTTTTATAACTGGAAGTTTGTACCTCTTATTCCTCTTCAGTTTTTTCACTCATCTCCCCACAGTTATTTGGGGTTTTTTTTTTTTTGGTTATTGTTATTAAGTTATAAGAATTTTTCACATATCTGTATATTAACCACTTATCAGATAGATGATTTGCAAATATTTTCTCCCATTCTGTAGGTTGCCTCTTCACTCTGTTGACTGTATCCTTCTATGCACAGAAGTTTTTAATTTTTATATTGTCCAATTTATCTACTTTAACTTTTGTTGCCTATGCATTTAGTGTCAAATCCAAGAAATCACTGCCAAATCCAATGGCATGAAGTATTTCCTCTATGTTTTCTTCTAAGCACTTTACAGTTTTAGGTCTTACATTTAGGTCTTTGATCCACTTTAAGTTAATTTTTTATATGGTATAAGATAAGGGTCCAACTTCATTCTTTTGTATGTGGATATTCAGTTTTCCCAACATCATTTGTTGAAAAGACTGTCTTTTCCCTATTCAATAATCTTGGCAACCTTGTGAAAATAATTACACATTTGTTTTTGTGATTATTTGATTCATGTCTGCTTCTCTCACTAATTTATAAACTCCAAGAAGGCAACAATCATGTTGATTTTGTCCACTATTGTACCTTCAGTGTTTAGTATATAGTAAAGACTGAATAAAGTTTACTTGAATAAATGCTTGAAAAACACTTAACACAATGCCTAACACTAAGTAAAATTTTAATACACAGGAACTATTATTATTGTTGCTATTGCTATTGAACCCATTGCACCCTTTGCCTGAGGTGCACTTTGCTTAATCTGAAAAAAAAAAAAACCTAAAATAAATCTTTCTGCCTAAGGGAAACACAATAAAGTAAATATTAAGGTGTGCAATTGTCCAGGCTTTGGGATATGGCAGACTTGGTTCAAACATTGGTCCATTTCTTTCTACCTGTGTAATCCTTGGCACATTACTCAGCACTGATATTTCCAAGTATCACTTTCCTTATCTGTAAAATGAGGGCAATAATATCTATCTCATAAAGTTGTTAAGTGGATTAAATGAAATATGTGTAACAACTTTGCATAGTGTCTGGCATTTGTAATAAGCCCTGAATAAATGGTTCTTCTGTTATTTCTTTATAAGCCATTAGAATCTCTATCTTGTCCCCTTAGTTTGGTTTGCTATTATCTTTTAAAAGGTTACTTTCTTAGCTATTGTCTCCATTTATAAGACAATTTAAAATAGATAACAAGGGTAAGTAAGCTTGAATGGGAAGTATTTGATTAGAATACTTAAGGCAAAATGTCATTGGAGAGTTTCTATCAGATCTGGAAATTACCATAGCCTACAGAAAAGCTAATAGTTATTTTTTTTCTCTTGACCAAAATGGGAAGCACTTTATTGGTGCAGATCCTGACATTATAGATTATCTCTATGAGAATAAAGATTTTTCAGGAAAAGAGTCTCCTTTAAAAAATGGGGAGGGGGATATAATTTATGAGAAAGTATGGTGAGAAAGAAATATCTCCTTAAGTGTTTGGCAGACTCATACTGTCAGAAAAGACCCTCAGAAAGGACCTGCTCCATCTGTGTCTTGAGGAAGGTAAATGATTAATCCTACTAGTGTTGATAGGCTTGTATTTCATATTAGTGACTTATTAATCACTTGACCTTTTCCACAGTGCACTTAGCATAGTAAATTATACTTCTTTCTATTGAGGCTTGGGTGACTTACATCACCCTTTGCAACTTAGCCAGATTTGGGCTCAATATAAGTCACCCATTAGACACATTGCAGCTGATTGTGCATTTTTACCATGTATTGTGACGGTTTAGTGGCAGCTTAATAAGAAAGCACTATGAAATACAGAAAAGGAAATAAAGAAGGTTATACCAATTTAATTTCCCACTTTACCTTGGAAATCTCTCATAGCTAAATCACAAGGAAAAATTCCAAATGCGTGTGAGATTTTAATTTTTTTTCCAACACAAAAGATAGCTAGTAGAATGACTTTAAATTAGTAGAAATAAGTCCAATGCCCCCCTTTTTGATGTCCCTGCTCTCTTTTATACTTTTCCAGCTCTGATATTGTTGACTTCCTCCTCCTCTGTGAAAATTGTATTTCTGCATTTTTTCCCCAAGAATCCAACCACTTTAACTGTTTCCATTAGCTCCTCAGTCTCTTCCCAATTATGACTGATTCTCTAACCCAATTCAAGAAATATACATTTATTTATTTATTTATTCATTCATTCATTTATTTATTTATTTATTTAACAAACATAGATGGAGAACTTACTATGTTCCAGACACTTTGTAGGTTCAAGAGTTGAAGGGAAAAGGCTAGAAACAAAACAAATAAAGGGGAATTCCAGGAAGTGATAAGGGGTATGAAGCCATTCATTTATTCTTCATTCAACAAATGCTTTTTGAATACCTACTACACACCAGACACTGTTCTATGTGCTGAGAATTCTCTTTCATGGATCTAAATTGGGCCTCCCCATTGTGAGCAAGATGGGACAAGCACTTGGAGGCAGGAGCCCAGTGAGTAAAATGAGGCAGTATCTAAGTATGCATTGATGGGGTGAAACCTGAAGAAGTGGAAAAGAAAAGGAGAATGTAGAAACAATCTTGAAAGAAAAATCAGCAGGGTCTAATTACTAGCTGAACATGGAGAAAATAAAGTACTAAGAAGCCAGTGCCAGTGCTTGGGTAACTAGGAGAACAGGGAGCCTTCCCACTATTCATTCTGCTCCTTTCC